TGAAGTCCAGTCCAAATTTAAACTCTTCCAATCCTTTGACCTTCCAATCCTTTAACGTTTCCAATTAGTTTTATTCAAAAATCGATTTTCTTTTTTAAAAAAAAAGTTTTTATTTTATGATCAAACAAATATACAATATAGGCAATCATTCAATATATCATCAATATACCTCTCCTTATCAGTTATCATTTAATATAACATTTTTACTTATCTGTTTAAACATTTTTAAACCCCCTTCAACCCCCCTTCCCAACCCCAACCCCGACTTCCCAGAACAAAAACAGGGTATAAATTTTACCAAACATACGCTAATATATGCTAACAATGCAAGATTTAAAACTCCCTAGACCCCTTAACTCCCCTTCTACAGATTATTCATCAGCCTCCCTTTTTTATAAGCTCAAAATAACATATAATCCTTTAGCCCTAAGAGTTTTAAAAACATTAGCAAACACTAATAGATCATTCAAACCCTAAAAATACATCTGTAAAATATTCTTAATTCATTTACTTAATCATTTTACTCTTCCTCCTACTTTTATTCTCAAAATTCAAATATTTTAAAAATCTTAATACAACAATAAGTAAACCTTAATTAATCATTAATTGAATTTCTATATTTTCTTAATTCATTTACTTAATCATTGTAATTAATCATTAACACATCAATAGTTAGACCAGAAAAAGTTAATCTTCCATTCTTCCTTTCTTTCTGTATTTTTTCCAGTCTTTCTTCCTCCCTCCTACTTTTATTTTGAGGAGGTTTTGAATTTTAACTTGAGGTTGATGTATCTTTAAAACTTGTCCCTTTCTTGGAACCATTTCCTCTGATTTAGAGCCCCCATATCGACTCTTTTTGCTTATATAATCAGCCAGTTCATAGAACGAAGAATTGACTCGATAAGATTTATCAGTTTGCAAAGAGAAGTCCAAAACCTCGTAAGACTGGTCAGTTTCTACTTCTTTCTGCTCCAAATTAGTTTTTTGAAAAGTTCTGTCAGTTAATTCCAAAAGAGCAGGAGGAAAGTTTGAAGATTCTTGAGAGCCAGCCAGTTCCAGCTTCTCTGTTTTGGTCAAAATGTCTCCTGCATTGTCATTGTGCTTTCCTTCAAAAACATCCTCAATTGCTTTTATATCCTCCACCAGTTCTGTAAGTTTTCGTTCCATGATTGCTGATTGGTTATTAATAATTGCAATTTGGTTATTCATGGCTTCCTTTATAAATTCTCTAAAAAAATCCTCCTGGCTCTGTAACGCCATTAGAGAGCCTCCACCACTTTCAGGAACTCTTTGCTTGGAAGCCATATTATTATAAAAGAATTTTTCTTTTCACAGCCATAAAGTCTCTTGAACAGCTTTCTCAAATTTATTTGTGATTTATCAAGCAAGATAGTCTTTTCTACACCCAGCTCTCAAATCCCAGCAACTTAAATCCAGTCTCTGAGCACAAATCTGTTAACAAGCACTTTCATTTCTAACTTTCACTTTTACACCCACAACGAGGACGCCATTTCCATCTCCAGCTCAGAAAAATCAAGTAGAAACAATGTATCCCAGGAATTAAGCACAATACTTGCAAAAGCTTGTTCTCCTGCTTCCGTTCTGTCTGCTTTTGAATTCAATTAATCTCCTTTTTGACAGAAGAGTTGGTCGTGACGTCTGGCTCCGTTTAAAATGGAGTCGCCTCGGATCCGGAGCTTCAGTGGGCTGAACGGGGAGCTCTCACCCTCCAAGCCCCTGGAATTGTTCCAGGGGCTTCCGGGGAGCTCTACCCTCGCCCACCGGCTCTCCTCTCCTTCTTCTCCCGAAGGAGAGGTTTTCAAGCCATCTGACAGCTGATTAACGCTGTCAGAACGGCTCCAACGGAATTGCGGGGCTGGCGGTCCGAAAAGACCGTCCGCGATGCCGACGGTGCCAACCAGAAGCCCTGGTTTCTCTTCAGATCGTATAAATATTTCGCCTTTTACAAAAATTGATTTTCTATTGGGTTTTTTGTCTCTTTAAAGCTTCATTTCAAAATCTTCTTTGCCCCTGTGCTCCTTAGCCCCTATTTTATCGCTAGTGGTCTTGTAGTTAAAAGATGTTTCCCTTGATGTTATTACAAACCTGGGTTGACTGTCACTCACCTAGCTTCGAAAAACTCCGTTCTGTTCCACTTTCCTCCTGCTCAATACTTGATCCGGTTGTCCCAACTTCGTGGCAGCTGCCATGGCTGCCGCCCCCCGCCGCCAAGTCACAGAGAGTTCCCTCCAACCTCCAAGGAACTTTCCTGTTCCTCTTGGTCATCCGAGGTGCCTCTCTTTCTTCCCCGTCCCTGCAGGATGGTTCTGGTCCGAAGACCCATCGGCGGCGGTTCGTCAGCCAGGGTTTTCGCAGGGCTCGTCGGAGCCCACTAATTTCCCGACCATCTCTCCGTGACGCCAAATCGGAAGTCCCTACCTCATACCACTTTGATTCCGGCAGGGAGAAGGGGGTCTTTGGCCTCCACTGCCTTGTCCATATTCGTCACCCAGTGGTCTTCACTCCCTGGTATGGGGTATCTCTCACTCGCTCCTTCCTGGCTGCGGATGATTGCTCGGACTCCTTGGGTTTTGGTTTAGGGCATGTGCAAGCGGCCTATGCTCTTGGTCCAGCCTGAGGTAGCAACCGCTGTTCCCGAGCCAGGATCTCTCTCTGGCTTCTTTTTTTCTTCCGTGTCTTTGGCCGTAGCCAACATTTCAAAGATGACCTCTGGTGGAATCCAGATAGGCTATTACCCTGAGCACTAGCTTAATGTCAACTGTCACTGCATTAAACAGCAAAAGAAACTCCTGGAACATTTTTTCTCCAAGACTATAACTTTAATTAAAAGCCTTATGGGTACAGAAGTAGAAAAGCCAGTTCTGATGTTTTTGTGCACGATAACATCAGAAAACTTTTTCTTTCCCCCCCTGAACCTCCCAATCAGTTCCACTGTTTTTTTATTTTGCAAATGGGCTGCCTGCCTCGGATGTTCCCAGGCGATGATCTTGGGGTTTGGGTCTGTCTCACGCTTCCAGGAAACTTCATTCCAGAGTTCACTCCCAAATTTCCCTTGCATCCCAATGCCTTCCCTACCCCCTCCCATTACTGTTGTCTGATTGTGAGCAGGGCTATATAGCGAGTCAATCATAACAGTCAGGCTAGAACTTCAGACACATCTGTTCGTTTTTGCATGTCCCACTCCCCCTAGTCTTTTCTTAATTTTGTTGAAAAGAAGAAAAAAGCTAGCAAAAAAGTGATGGAGATATTACTAGTGAATCTGATCAGCTGGAAATAGGAAGAAAAACCTAAAAGGATGAGCAAGGGATGAACACACTAGAAAGCATCTAGGTAATAGTACTGATTATTTGATATACTAGGATCACGTGTAGATGCTGTTTATATTCCAGTATGAAATGCATTGAAACAATTGACTTAGATACTGAAATTAGCAGTCACATGGCTGCAGATTTCAGGTCCAGGTAAAAAAACAGCTGAACACTATTTATGCCCTTGTAACAGAAATAAAAGAGCTTGGATAAAAGATTTAATAACTATTCTACCATTTAATATGCAATAGTTGGATCAATTAGCAGTTGAATTTTAGTTATGGGCACTATCATCTGTCATTCTTGAATGCTGAAGATTGTGTCCTCCAATACTTCCATAGGTTTCTGCTGTGTCTGGCACCTGCTCAGTGCTGCTAAAAATGTGCTACAGCTAAACTGCCAATATATATTACATGATCTAGAGAAGCTCATGAGGAAAATTCATTCTTGTGCACATGAGAAGAGTGTAACCATATTTTTTCTTTGAAATAAGTGCTGATGCTTCATGGAATGCCATTCTAGATGGTGTCCTAATCTTTGCTGTTAAGCATGCAGCTGGCAATTAAGAAGGATTGAAAAGCCATAGAATCCAGATAAAAATGAGTAGAAGAAATTTATTAGTTTCTATACATATTTATTCTAAGGCTTTGCAGTGTTTTGGATGTGATTCCAAAATTACTTTAGAGCACTTAATGTAACATGTTTACAGCCTTTTAAAACAGCCACACTTTTCTGAGGTTACAAAATAGATTTTTTGGAATTTATTTATTTGTTTGTTTGTAATCCATTTCCAAAATAATGGGGTCAGAATTGATTGATCAGAAATAGTCATTTGACTAGCTTTTAAGATACATTAAGTGGATTATGCTGTTGTCAATAATTGGAAAGAATTGAAAACTTTTAGCATATGACTTGATTTACCAAGAAATGATAAGTGAAGTGGAATATATAGCTATAGAAATATGCCTTTGTATAAATTCATGTACCCATGAAGCAGGTACTTATATGCGTAACAACCTAAATTCGTTTTCAGACATTTTCAGTAAAAATTACTCTATGTAGCAAAGTTTGAACAGATCTTTAGTTGGCAGCATTTATTGAACATGCTCCATGTAAAAATGAATAAGAAATTTAATTGTCAACATTTTTTAGAGCTTTTTAACTTTGGGCATCAGCTGACTGGCACTTATTTATAACTGGGGTCCATAAATATGGTTGTTTAATGGTCACAGCACATTAACTTTTCTGACAATCTTGAGAAAGTGGAGGGTTGGGATGTCATTTATACCTAGCATTAAAATGTAACTTATTAAAGTGAACAGTTTTTCATTGCATCACACATTAGACATACTTATTGGTGGTTACTCTGATAATTAATCCATCCTTTTCCCCCAAATCACTGCTGTGTGCCATGTAACTCAAGGTAGTGTGATGATGGTGATCAATAAAGAATTCCTGGCTATTTAAACAAGCAAAATTTATTGACCCTCAGTCATATATATACATATATGTGTGTGTATGTATGTGTGTATATATATGTCTTCTCAAGTTTTAACATATATATATATATATACACACATACATACATACATACATACATACATATATAAATACACACATACATACATATTAAGATATATTTAATTCTAACTTTTTTCTCAAACTTCCAAGGTTGGTTCTGTGGTAGCTGTTGGTTGGATACGATCCAAGAAGGCTGTTGACTGGCATCTCTTCCGCAATATCTTTCTAGCTTGGTTTGTGACTGTTCCTGTAGCTGGCTTATTCAGTGCTGGCATTATGGCAATCTTAATGTATGGAATATTACCATATGTCTGATACATCATTGTTCTTTCCAGAAAAAAGGGAGTATCTCTTTTAAGTCTCGTTCTCAGAATGCAGAACTCCCTGATCAACTATACAGTAAGAGATAGTCTGCAAGTCATTTATCCTCAGTATCTAACATCTACTGTACATACTATGAGTATCTTTGGTGCCATTTCTTCTGTACAATGTGTGTGTGTGTGTGTGTCTATGTCTGTATATAGACACGCACCCATATACATACACGCTTGTAGTTGATAATACAACCTTAAGTTATAAGTGAGATGAAAATAATTGCCTAGAACTTAATCTATAGTAAAATTTGTATATAATGTATCATTTAGTGGTGATTTTTAAACCCATTAGAGAAGTTGGGACATTTGTCAATATAATAATATATGATGAAGCAAAATGTAAACTGAGTAAGATTCTTTTTTGAAAAAAAGTTTAATGATACTGAAACAAAATAGTATGAAAGTACATTGGTAAAATGTGGTTCATATCATATTGTTGTGTATAATACTGTATGCACATTGATTTTATAAATACTTCTAAAATGTAGCTTTTTAATGTTGCATTTCCCTTATATATTTTGGATAAGAAAGTTTAGACAGTACCAAAGAAGGGGAATAGCTTGACAGTATTATACTGTTTGTCAGTATGTGTATTTGCTATTGCTCTCCTTCCCGAAATATTTTAATTAGCATTCTTTTCTACTCATCAAACACCAGCAATGCCAAGATAATATTAATATTTTCCTGTAAGTAAGAAAGCATCATATTGTTGCAGTTACCTATTACCCACTTGCATTTATTTTTTTAGAAATCCAACTCTGCTTTTATATATGATGAGTTCAAATTTCTTTTAAAAGATGTTTGCCATCACTTGTAAGTGATTCTCATTCTGGTTCATTACCATCAATCTAATGAACAAGTTCAGGAAAAGAAAGATGAAACTGAAATTCTGCCTTGTTTCTATGATTACATTCAGTAAATCTTATCTATGCAGTGGAATTGAGCAATACTGGCAGTGTGCACAGAAGTTGTGACATTTCAGTATCTAAAGAAAAAGGGAATTACTCAAGTAAGACATGTTTGACTGTTAAAATTGGCACTGTGGAGAGCTTTTAATATCAATTCTAACTCCAAGAAGCATTTGGAAGGATTAGTTCTGATACTAAAAGTTGGTGAAGTGAAATCTGCTGCAGTGTCATTTTTGTCCTTTGATAACATCTCATTGCAGCAGTCATCTCGGCCAACTAGTGCTGGCATCCACAGCATGTTGTTCATTAGAACACAGGATGTCAACAAAGAGTGAAAAGATTGATAATGCTGCAGTTCCCGCATTGCTAAGATAATTTAACAGGTTGTATGAGAAATTAGTTTTTACTGTTTGAGGAATTATTTTAGTTTGCCAGTCTTGTGTGTTTTATAAAATGAAGATATTAGTAGATAAATCTATCAAAAAAGCTGCAAATTGATGTAATTCATTGTCTATGCATCTAATAAGGTGTTTTCTAAGTAGCAGTTAAGAGACAATATTTGGTGTCCTTTTACTGCAATGGAACTCTGAAGCATTAGCATTTGAGAAGTTCTCTGGCATTAATCTCAATGTTTGTACAACTCTTGTGTTTTTTTCCCCAGAAGATTGCTCTTTCGTTTAAAACTTATTACTGTAGTTGTATTTACTGGAAAGAATTTGAGGAAGCATTGTTTGAAGTATGTTGGGAGCCCAGAACTGTTGAAATGCTGCTAAAATTTTGATATATGAGCTTTCTTGGTACTCCATTGTCATCCTTTTTCATTGGTCATTCACTCTAAATTTATAATAAAAGAATAAATTGCCTTCAGACTACTTATTAAGCCTTTTTTACTCTCACTGCTCTGAGATTTTAAGATTGATACCAATTCATTTAAAGACGCTTGTTTAGCACAAAATTTTCCTTCTCATTTTGCATTTCTTATAATCCTTTTATTTATGCTCCCTCTTTGTGAGCTTGTTCAGTGTTTTGTAACAATGGAGGTGTGTGCACACATTCACTTACATACCAAGTGACAAAATCTAAATAAAGCCCAGCTCTGTACTGCGCAAACAGAAGCTTCTATTTATTGCTCTTGGGACTGTTTGTTCCAGGATCCAGTTCCCATTGGAATTATTAAAGCCTTCTTCCATTTGCATTCCTGTTAAAAACTTTTCATACATGACAATACAAAAGTGTATGTTCCTAAGACTGAATAAAAATTAAGATGTTTGCATATTGCGATCACAACAATACTTGGGAAAAGGAAAACTTGGGAGGGAAAAATCCACATTTTCCTTTCAAGGCAGTGCCATTATAATGCTTAGGCTTTCAAATGTTCAATAATACCACAAACCTCTGAACTTGAATGTACAATTTGTGACTCAAGTTACTAATGACATAATCTGCATGTTAAATACTTTTGTTAGCCTTAATCAAGTTTTGCTATTGCAGTTGCAAAGTAGTATCCATTTAGAAAAAACTATTTATTTTGAACCTCAAAGAATAGAAATCAGAATGATAGGGTGTCCTTTTAAAATTCTAACCTAGGTGCCTTTTGGTGAGAAGCAAAGAAGGAGTCACAGTGCATTTTATGTTTAGTAAAGATTCTTAGCTGAATTGATTACAAAAAATTTCAAAACACTATTCTACCTTCAGTTTGTTTTTATATTCATTATTGGATTAAATAAATCTTGGCTGATTTTCAGCCTTATAAATTAATTGACCTGCATAAATTAAACATAACTGATCTTCCCATGTAATATTAGTGAAGGAAAGCAGTGTTCCCTTTCCACCTTTCTAAAATATTCTGTTAATAAAGGAGAAATGGAAGTTTTTGTCTGCATAACCCCCTCAATTTTGTTTTTTCTCCCCCATAATTATATACTCATAATTGGAGAGGCTTGTGCATGCTAAGACTTTATTTTCTTGTACCTCCACCCCACCCCACCCCCACATTGTTTTGCCCTAATTTCTGAAACATTCTGTACATCCTATGGGGTTACAGCTTGTCAGGTCATTAAAAAATATGCACCCACATCTGTTCATTAAGCATGAGGAAACCGCTCTATTATTTTTTATTTTCAAAGTGATCAGCATTACTCTACATAATATCTCAGAATAATGTATTTATATTTCTATGCCATCAAGTCTACAGATTCTTAGCAACCACATGTAGGTAGTCCTTGATTTATGACTGTAATTGAGTGCTCAATTACAAATGTAAGTTGTGATCGTTATTAAACGGGTCATCAAGAGACCATTAAGTGGATCATTAAGTTAATACATTGTTCACTATGGGGCCAGTTTTCACCAAAAATCTTATAAATTGTCATGTCACTGCAGAATGATGCAACTTGCAGTAAATGCAAGCTGATTGTCCAGCACCCAAAATGCAGTCACATAACTGGGGAGGGGCAACTATTGGAACTTCAAATCTGGATGGTAAGTACCTTTTATGGACTCTGCCATAATTTCAGATGATCATTAAGCAACAGTTCTAAGTGGACAACTATCTGTAGATAGATTTTATATCTGTTCTCAATCAGGTCCTTCAATCTTTCAGTAATACACCCATTGTTCCTGCAATCATGTTAACCCAACTTACCTCTTTCCCTTTCCAACAAGGGAGATGGCTGATTAAAAAATATGAAGTCTAAATAAGATAGAGAACTTTATAAAAAATAAAGAGCTTTATAATGCAGAGAGCTAATCTTTACATAATGTGTCCAAAATAGATCATTTCAGCTTGGTTATTTGTACCTAGAATGACAACTTTTGTGTTGAATTGATTTGTTTTCAAGAGTCTTATCTAACCCAAAATTTAAAAAGCAATAAAGCTTTTTCTACATTATCTTGTCAAAGCCCTAATTTTATTTGTATAGAGTGTTATAGGGAATATTATTGCTTGCAATTTTCTGATGTTTATAAAGAAATCATGCCTCTAAATATCTTTTCCAGGGCCTTCATGGCCGGTCTCCTAAGGGCTAGTCTACAACATAATTCTTATTGATGGCTTGTCCTAAAAGGCAGAAACTATCTAGGATTTCAGAATCTTCATTCTCAATTGCAGGATTGATTGCTCTATTTGTTATCATTAGATTAATTATCTTTATATTGAATCTTAGTCTCTTTTTCCTCCACTATATTTAATATTCCCTATTAGAACTTGCAGATAATTTGCATTTTTAGCATAGTGTCTGATAGGACAGGTTATTGATGGTTTTTTAGATTACAAAAGCGTGTTCAATTTTAAAATCATACTCATCTTCCTATCCAGGTTCCCTCAGTATAAATTCAGCATATAGGTCAAATAAGGAAAGTATAGTGTCTTATCTCCTTTTTCAATCCAGGCCAGTCATATGTCTCATTCAAACTGGTTTCCAGGCCTTTGTAGGTGGGATGCTATAGAATTCCCATTTTAGAACATTATATAGTCTGTTGTGATCAACATAATCAAAGTATTTTCTTTAATCAGTAAAGTATTTCTTTACAGTATTCTAATATGACATGGGAAATATTATTTAGGCTAAATATACAGTTTTGTGCTTTGATAACTAAATTAAAACAAGTTGTATCTCTTAACTGAGTAAATTATGGAGAGCCAGGGAGATATTCCCACAAATTGAAACACAGGCAGAGTTATTTTTAATGTGCATATACAACAATATATACACACATTTGGGATAGAGTAAAATAGATCATTTATTCTCTGAAATGTTTTGAGTTGAACTGTGTAGAAACTGCCCAATATATTCCTGATGCTGTAGAAACAATCTTAAGTCAGTTTATGTCTTCCTGGAAGTAGTTTGGCCCAAGTCATTCCCTAATTTTGCTGAGAAATTTTTCCTTAACTGGGAAGGAAAATAGAGAAGGAGATGGAGATGCATTCCAAGAGAACAATCAACTTCCACTACATAACTGCTTCTCCAAATCTCTCGGAGATACAAAACAAAATAGTAGTTAAAGGATTCATTCTATCCCTAAAACCCATTCAGACACAACCCATGTTTCCCAAACTACATCAGAATCAGCCAGACTTTGACTATAGTAGCTGCTTGCTCACATAGTTTCTTCATCCTTTTAAAAGCTTCTGATCACATTTTACCTCTGCTCTTCCCTTCTTTTCCATAATCTCTCTGACTGGTGATAGACAATTATCTAACCTAATTTTAGCAAATCTAAAACTTGTAATTAATAAGAAGTTACCTTGATTTAAGAATGGTTCATCATCAATTCTGGCCTACTTCCTTCCATTTCATAAAGGCATTTCATAAAAAAGAGGTTTAAAATATTTATGAGAAAGGGGGGCTAATTTAGGTAGATTAGAATTGTCCTTTCAGATGAATTAAAATTTGTTATGAATTTTCCTACTATAAATTTAAATCAAATGTTCAACTGCCGAACCTCTTGATGAATATAGACATATCATTTTCTAAATTTGATCTCTGGTTATGAATTGGATACCATTAGTAATGCATCCAATCACACTACAGTAGTATTTCTCTTTAGCCTCCATGGAATTATGAAATAATTTTATCCTTGTATTTATACTTAATGGGTGTTGTCACTATCCTAGCAATATGTGTCATGTGTCTCAACAACTAGTAGCATATTTACTAAGTAAATAAAGAGAAGCCTTTCACCTTCAGGTCTGTTTATTAACCTGGATCCAGATTTAATCCTGTGCCAGGCTTGCAGCTCTGTAGGTTTTTCAAATGATCCAGTCTATTTGTGGAAATATTTCCCAACTTTCTGCTTTAAAATATGCAAGGCAGGTGATTTATCCAATATTGTTAATTTTATTTTAACTACGTGTATTGTCTGTTTTTCTCCATGTGTGCAAAATATGCACATTTTTTAAAAAAATCACTAAAATCACTCATTGATAATTGAAAAATTACAAATGAAACACACTCTCAGTTTTAAGAAAGAGAGTCCAGGTTAAACAGTCATTTTTTAAAACTAACAATTAAGGTCAGAGACACAACAGGCTTTTCCAAGCAGAGTGCTCTCGAATTAGTACAGTTGTTGCCACTTATTTCTTGTGGGCAAGGTCAAATGAATCGGGGTCTACATAGCTTGAATAATGAACAAATGTTTCTTTCCAACTGTTGCAATTATCCACTTGGAAATTTACAAAACACAAGCTGAGGCTAAAGTGAAAATTAAACAGGCTGGTCATTTTTCTATGATATTGCAAGACATAAAGAGGGAGTTCCAAGAATGATAAAGGTTCAACAGAATAAGGTAAACAACCAGCTGCAGATGTCCTCAATAAAGAGAATTGCATCCTGGCAATTTAATGTTAATAGGTGTGAGAACGAGAACAAATGTCCAGAGAGATGTATTGGTTTCCAGTTGAAAAGAGTTCACTTGCTGAAGTCCTTGTATGCTGACCCCTTTCATCTCAATAAATTTTGCTAGAGACAACTCTGTAAAAATTGTGTTGGGAAAAGAGTAATTTTCAATTCAGGCAACTGCAAAAGAACATGACACAATGTGAGAACTCTATAATATCAGATGATATTTTATATACACATCTCTCACTTGATTGGTGTACATAGATTGAAACTAATGTGTGAACTGACTACACTGAAAAGTCCAACACACCAAGATTAATTTAGTAACAGCCTTTTCAGCTTGTAGATGTTGCAGTCATCAGGTGCTTAAAAGTTAGTGTACTCTTGAATTTTCTATATTTCTGCATAAATATGCTCTAAAACAAAAGTACTAAAAGTATTTAATTGAGTCAAATTAAATGAGTCAAAACCAGACTTTTTTACTGAGGAAAATAATCCAAAACTACATGTTTGCATATGGCAATGACT